CTGGTCACTTAGGCTTTTATATATAGAGATATTATTATTATATTTTGAAAGAAGCCTCTCTATGCCAAGCACTATAGTAGAGGCTAAATACACAAAGGTTTTTAAGAAAGAGAGAGGAGAGAGGAGAGAGAGAGAGAGAGAGAGAGAGAGAGAGAGATTTTCTGCCTTCTGTAGTGCACAGAGATAAAAACACTAACAAAATGGGAGCTAGCTAGGCACCCTAGCAGTTTGGCTCAGTGGATAGAGCATTGGCCCACAGAATGAAGGTCCTCGATTTGATTCTGGTCAAGGGCACAAGCCTGGGTTGCAAGCTCAATCCCTGGTGGAGGGCATGCGGGAGGCAGCCAATCAATGATTATCTCTCATCATTGATGTTTCTATCTCTCTCTCCCTCTCCCTTCCTCTCTAAAATCAATAAAAATGTATTTTTTAAAAAAAGGAATGGAAGTTAGGCTCCTCACTATTGATGTGGGAGTTATAGGTAAGCAAGGCTAAAACTTTCCATGTGGTAAAGAATTAGAATTGAAGTCATCATATGAACTTATGTTTAGTTTAATATAGATAAAGACAGTTATATATAGAAAAAACTTTGCATATGTGTACATATATTATTTCTCACTCTTTTAGCTGAGAGGGCCAAGGAGTAATGCTGCCTCAGTAGCAACAAGCACACCTAGAACCCAGATCTTGGTTTCTAATACCATCTATAATAATAAAAGCATAATATGTAAATTGACGGAACGCCCAAACAGCAGAATGACCATCCAGACGACCTTCCGGACGACCACACTATGACACGCACTGGCGCCAGGCCAGCCAAGGCAGGTGCGGTGCAATTGGTTGGGGGGCCCGGCCATCACCCCACAATCGCCCCGCAGAGGGAGGCCCAGGCTACCTCTGCGGGGTGATTGATGGTGAGGCTCCGCAATCAATTGCCCCAAAGAGGAAGGCCTAGGCTACCCGGCCAGTGGTGCTGCGGCAGGTGAGCGGGGCCTACCTCTACAGTGAGATCGATCTGGGGGCCCTGAGATCGATCGCCCCACAGAGGAAGGCTCAGGCCACCAGCCAGCAACACTGTGGCAGGTGTGTGGGGCCAGCCAATCATCGCCCGCAGATGGAGGCTCAGGTCCAGCCAACGATCGCACCCCATGCCTGTCACCCACAGAGGGAGGCGACCAGTGGCGGAGGTGCGGAGGGGGCAGGGGGGCAGTGCTGCACAGATGGCAAGCAGGGGCAGTGTCAGGGGCAGGGCTAGCTGCCAACAGCTGGGGGAAGGAAAGCCCTAATAGGCCCTGATCACCGGCCATGCCTAGGGACCCTACCCGAGGGGTCCCGGATTGTGAGAGGGCACAGGCTGGGCTGAGGGACACTCTCCCCCCCCACCCCCGTGCACAAATTTCATGCAACAGGCCTCTAGTTCTCCAATAAAAGGAACCAGAACTCCTTGGAGAAATGACTGATTCCAAGAGAGGGGCAGGAAACATACAAAACGAGCCAGGAGTATCTTTTAGTTCCAGAAAGTAAATAAGTACAAAAAAAAGCCATACACACACACACACACACACACACACACACACACACACACACACATTCACCCACACAATGATGAGGGCACATGAAATGGATACAGGAGCCAACTGAAAGAACTCTTAATGGCCAAAGCTGGAACAATCAGAGCAAAAATAAAATAGTATTAAAATATGAAGTAAATATTTATATGCACATACTGATAGAATAATTAACTAAATAATTTGAATAAAATAACTGGAGAAGGAAGAGACAAATCTATGCAGAGGAATTTCACATAATTTATGTAGCTATTTTGCCCTCAAGGAGGTAAGCAAACTCCCCACTTTCACATAGTAACTTCCCTTCAAAGAATACAATGTGGAGCCCTGACCAGTTTGGCCCAGTGGGTAGAGCATTGGCCCATGGACCAAAGGGTCCTGGGTTCGATTCCAGTCAAGGGCACGTACCTTGATTGTAGGCTCCTCCCCAGCCTGAGCTATAGTCAGGGTGCATGCAGGAGGTAACCAATCAATGTGTTTCTCTGACATTGATGTTTCTGTCTTTCCCTCTTTCTTCCACTTTCTAAAAAATCAATGGAAAAATATCCCCAGGTGAGGATTAAAAATAAAAGAGTACAGTGTGGAAAGTGTGAGGGGGGGTGGGGGGAGAGATTACCTTTACAGTGGAGAAACATGGTAAACACTGCCTCAGCCAGGTGATCAAGGTCAACATCAATAGTCATAAGTCATGTTGATCAAATGGTATGCTATGACGAAAATGTCACTTTACCTCTGTGGTTTTCCTCCCAAAACTCCAGTATCTCATGGACTTAAGAAAATTTGTATAGATGCTCTTTCTGATGGTTCTACCATTTAATCTCTCTCTTCATGTAAGTCTAGAAAAATGAACAACCCTTTGGGCATCAATTGTATGAGTATACCATGTCTTAATGACCCATATATACTAAATTTACTACCTGGAATTACCTGGAACATTCATACCTTGTGTGATTATTTTTTAGGGTGTTCCCTACACTTACAATGTTTATCTCCCTCACACTTTTTCTAAGTTCAAAATCATGATCATCTTTCATGGTTCACCTCAAATATTTCCTCCTCAGGGAGAATAAGCTGCTCATTTCTCTGAGAGTCATAATAGTGTGTCCCTCCATCATCTCATGGGCATAAAAATTTTTTTTATAAATGTTGTTTCTAGATGTTTATAAGCAATGTTGTTTATAGACATTTCTATTGTGCTGTAAGCCTCTATAGAGTAGGGTCAACATCATGGTCCCTCTTGCTCTCACACAGTGTCTGACATTTATTTATTCAACAACAATTTATTGCATGTTTACCATTCAATACCATTGAATGAACAGGAGGGAGGAAAATTACAGAGAAAAATTAACAACTAAATATTAATACTGTGGGGAAAACTTTCCAAGCCTGGAAAGCTCTGGGGGGAAAAAATGAGAAGAAAAATATTGATACAGGTCAGCTTTACTGAAAATATTGACAAAAACCTTCTGTCACAGAACTGATTTATTTTTCCAGCCAGTGCATATGCTTCTAAGTGAAAGGTCTCTGCTCTACCACTTCACCCATTTAATGTGATCTGGGACCCCTGTGGTTTGTGTATAGAAAGCTGGTAGACTCTGGGTGAGTAAATAAATCTAAGCAATGTTCATTTTCAAAAAGAAAACATGAATGAGCAGTAAGAATTTAGTGTAGGAAATAGACAAAAACTTTTTTCATGGCAGAGGTCTGAAGTTCAACTTACAACTGACATGGGTTCTTAGGAAAGAACTTTGCTTTTGAAACTTTCTATTAAAGAGAAACATGTTGCTATCTCAATGTCTATATACATTCAATTTATTTCGAATACCATTTTTGGTGTGGCTCTCTTGATCTACTTGTTTCTTATTTCTCTAGTATATATTAAGTTCCAAACTTCAGAGCATCGGTGCCAAAATGTATTTTTCATTACCCTTGTCAAACAATTTCTGATAGGGCAATTTTAACTCGATAGGTGCTCCATTCGATTCTGAGGTCTTTCTTTCCCAGATCCAGGCCTCCTGGTCTTTCCCACTGAAACTTCCAAACTCTCTTTACATGTCATGACCCATCATTCACCCTCAGAATGCAGGAATGATTTCTGATTTTAAAGAAGGATATTGAATGCTCAACCCAACATTTTTTAATTCCCCAAAACAATTAACTTCATGAAAACTAGTTCTTTCATACCAATGTTTCAGAATCACAGAAAGCTGTTTATACTATTAAGATTCCAGTATATACTTCTAAATTGCCTTGTGGATTTATTGCTCTGTTTCCAATGCCTTCTTCTCTAATCTGTCACTGGCCGCCTTCCCTGAACGCTTCCAAACTCTTCCTGAAAAGCCTGTTATGCCTTCACACCTAATGGAGCAAGGATAGGGACTGACTCTGTCACCTTATTAGGGTCCCCATCCCCTTTTAATAAATGCTAATCCATTTCCATTTTTAATCGTAGGGCATACTGAATCTATTAACTTTCAACATGTTTCATGTAAAATGTCAGATTAATTCTGAAGCAATAAATACTCCATGAACTGTTAATATGACTACAGATTTTAAGATCCCCGGTAAAGCGTTCCAACATGGCATCAGTTCAGCTGACTTCAAATCCTGGTTCTGCCACAAGTTAGGCAGCCTTCAGCAATATTTTTTTTCTGGATCTCTGAGCATCATTCATCTGTCTGGATATTCTCTGAGGAGCATCTCTTGTGTGTCATGTACCAAGGTCACCCTGACCTTCAAATAGGCTAAGCTTCATCATCTTTAAAATAGCAAGAATAATGCCCATCTTGTAGGATTGTAAAGATTAAATGGCTCCTCCTATACATGACTTCTCACCACTTCTACTCTATTCCACTACCACTGTCTTCCCCCACTTTCTTGTCCCTAAAGGATGATCTTATTAAGCTTCCTTGCTGAAGCTCCTCAAGATGAAATGACCTTTTAGAATCAGACCAGGCCAGTTCACAGGAAGCCACACTTCTGGCCAGCTACTTTGGAGGCTGTCTGCGTGGCCCCTGCACAATCAAGTGAACCGGGGCCCTGATTCATGACACACCATCCACCGTCCAAAAATGGCTGGGTTTCCTCCATCCACTTGCTTATTCCTCCCACATTATCCTTTCAAGGTGCCCAATAAGAAGGAAATGACACAGTATCTCCCTTTTTATTGGAGAGAAGTTAACTCTGCTGTGTTAGTTGCTTGGAGATTCCTCATGCATTGTTCACTAAAACCAGAGAAAGATGGATAAAAGCATCTGCATTTAAATCTGCATTCCATGAAGTGGATTCACTCCCAAATACACAGCTGTTTGGAGTTACTGGTTGTCAGACTGAAAGCTGAAGAATGGATTTCGAAAGGTGTTTGTGTGTTGAAGTATAAAGTGTAACTCCGAGAAGACTCGAATGTTCAATGCTATGTGTATTTATTCCTAGATTCTGTTAGAAGTTGTGTAGCCAAGTTGTTCTTCACCTGCTCCCTGAAGGGCCATTACTGCCTGTACAGTAAATCCAGTTTTATTCTCATCAGCCAAGAACCTCAGCCGTGGATCCAGATCATGTTTCTGTTTCAGCAGGTGTGTATAAGCTAAGTTCATCGTGGCTCGTTGGTATGAGTTTATGATCATTTTTACTGAATTATTATGTGACCAAAGTTGATATGTAGGGAACAGCAATGCATACACATTTCATCACTAATTTTTAATAAGGATTTTAAAAAATATTTTAGGATACTTTTCTTATAAAAAGTTCTGGATTACTAATCAGGAGACCAACCCTATTAATATTCTATAATAATAAAAGCATAATATGCTAATTAGACCAGACATCCTTCCAGACGACCCTCCGGACAAAGCCAGGGCTGCGAGGGCTGAGCCCCTTGCACAAATTTCGTCATTGGCCTCTAGTTCATTTATAAAAAAAGGAAAATAAAAGGGAAAATACTTTTTTGTGAAACAACAAAAATACCAGCTTATTTGGGGGAAGAGCTTTCCTAATGTAGAGCTAGCCTTTATTTATAGTCTCAATCTCCAGTTAATTTTCATGTTGGCACACCCTTTTAGACATTGTTAAAATACTGGAATGCTATTTTTTGCACAAAATATATCACTATAGGTAAAATTTCATAACAAGAAACTTTCAACTTAATAATTAAAATTTTGATGCAAATGTTTTAGCATTAAAAAAGATTCTTCTTTTAGCTAAGTAACAAAATAAACTGATGAACGAAGTGGATCCAGAACATGGAAGCATGGAACAGAGTGTGGAATCGCAGAGGGAAGGTGGGGGAGGGTTGGTGGGTGGGAGGTAATCAACCAAGGACCTTGTATGCTATGCATGGCCCATGGACACAGACAATGGGGTGGTGAGGGCTGGGGCAAGGCGGGGAATGGCTGGAGGGGTCAATGGGGGGAAAAGGGAGACATATGTAATACTCACAACAAAGAAAAAAAAGAAATGACATGAAGGCAAAAAAAAAGATTCTTTAACGGAAATATTTATCTCAAATGCATTAAATTTTCATGTAAAATTATAATACAGATTATAAAGTGTTAGTAATACAAGAGACCTTAGACATCATTTTTACTGATAAGAAATTGAAGGGCAGGAAGAGATCAACTGAAGGACTTGTATACATGTATATAAGCCAAACCAATGGACATGGACAACAGGGGGATGGGAGCATGAGTGTGTGTGTGTGTGTGGGGAGGTTGGGGGTTAATGGGGCGGATGAGGACACATTTGTAATACCTTAACTAATAAAAAAAAATTTTAAAAAAAGAAAATTGAAGGGCAGAATTCAGATTACCTGACTCCTGATCCAGTAGTCTTTTCATTATTGCACATGTGTTAAAAAATAAAATGAATGGATGCAGGCAGGTACAGAAAAGAAAGGAGGGAAAAACAGAATTCAAATGCTGTAAGATGCTTAAAAATTAGGCCAAGTGGTAAGATAGTTTATTTACTTCTATTAATAAAATATTTCTATTATACCCCCTGCAAAAGTCACAACCAGGCAGTTATATTTTATAAATAAAAGCAGCTGAATGTATCATAACCATAAAGTGGAACTATAGTAATTAAGAAAAGAGACAGCTTAGATGTGCCTTAAGACTATCTATCACCTATTCTATAAGACTTAATAACTCACAACTCGTGTTTTGATGTGAATCAAGTTGTATTGGAATACAACAAAAAAAAGCATTGATTTTTGTTCCATTTCTTAAAAGAATGACCTTATTTTACTTTAATTACTTTACTTACAGTTTTCAAATAGTTTTCATCAGTGATTTTGTATTTGGTTTGATCTTTGGCTTTGTTCTTAACAGTTGTCGGTTTTCTGAAAACAAACCAAGAAAACTTGCTTTTATTTTTGCCCCTTTATCTTATTTTATTGACATAGTCTGATTCTTTGTCTTTTTCTTTAAGCAAAATCGCCCCAAAGCATGTTTATACTGCTTTTCGTCTTTGTTCATTTTACTGTAATGGCTCCTTTCTTTTTCCATAGCTTTGATAATGTGTGGTCTGGATAAGCCCTGGCTTCACAACATCAATAAAAGATTTGAAAAAAAAACACAAATCTTTGACTTCACGATTACAAACACAGCCTTGCATCAATTTAACAGATTCATGGAACTCTTGAACTCACTGATTCCAGTCTAAACGCTCCTCTTTGGACTGATGATTAATTAAGTCAGGCTCTGCTTCTCTTTATTTTTTAAAAATATATTTTTATTGATTTCAGAGAGGAAGGGAGATAGATAGAAGCATCAATGATGAGAATCATTGATCAGCTGCCTCCTGCATGCCCCCTATTGGGAATTGAGCCTGCAACCTGGGCATGTGCCCTGACCGGGAATTGAACCTGTGACCTCCTGGTTCATAGGTTGACACTCAACCACTGAGCCATGCTGGCCAGACTCTGCTCCTCTTTAAATGAAAAATCATGTGCTACATAACTTTCTGGTAATAAATAAATTCTCAGATGTGTCCACATTATGGGTGCATAATCAGCTTACCTGGTACTGGCTCTTAGCCTTTTTTAATCTGCAGGCCACTTAGAGTATAAAGTTCTTCACCTTTCCCCACTCAGTCCAAATAGCTCATCTTTATAGTAATGACATATTTCTCGGGAAAAACTTACTAATTTTTATTTACTAAATAGAAATTTCTTATGCACAAACTACATAGTTTCATAAGTCGATGCTTGGATATCATTGTCATAGAAAATAGGATTTATACGCCAATATCATAATTTTGTCATACCTCAGTATAAAATATAATACATAAATGGTTTTGTGTGTTTATAAATAATATTTTATGCTCTCTGTTATGTTCTGTATGTTTTTATAAAATTGTTTCTTTGACTTGAAATGTTCACATTTAAAGTTATAACACTTTACATCACAACATGTAAATAACTATTAAAAACATAATAGATTAGTAAATATACAAACACAATTTAAATTTTCCTTTGAACTTTTTATTTTCATTAGTTTGAATGAAATATACATAAATGTGATTTTCTTTACATAACAATCTTGTTATCTAACACTTAGAATATCTTAAAGTTCTAGGAATATCCATCCATTATACATTTTAGGATTAAAAATGTTTTTTGTTTCCCACACTTCTATTCACAATGTTCATATTTGGATATGTGCAAAATGAACACTCAATTATTTAATTTCTAGTCTTCATAATCTACTCTGATATTTGTGCTTTAGATTTAATTTTATACATTAATTCTCAGAGCTTTGAAAAATAAATATTTATATTGACCATTTTCCAATTGGGTAACATGCTTGGGAAATTATTGAAGTAAATACTATGTTACAAAGATTAGGCATATTTATAGAGATCAATGTCAACTGCCTTGAAAATCTTATTCAATACTTTTAATTTTTCTCTCTATAATAAAAAAAGTGTAATATGCTAATTAGACCAGACATCCTCCCGGAAGACCTTCTGGACGAAGCCGGGGCTGTGAGGGAAGCCTAGGTCCTGGCTGCCAGAGGGAAGCCGGTGCCAGCAGCTGGAGGAAGGAAGGCCTACTCTTGCATGAATTTCGTGCATCGGGCCTCTAGTCTATAATAATAAAAAGCCTAAAATATATCATATGTTCAATCTTCAAGGTAGCTTTGTTCTTCTATTTAAATTTAAACCATGTTAAAGTTCAAATCAAGCCCAAATAGTGCACTGTAGCCAATCAAACAATCTTGGGGAGACAAGAGACAACATGTTTTTCTCACTAATGCCCTTTCAGAGCCTATTTCCGGAGCCCCTATCCATCCAGAGCCGTTCTGTGCAATTTCTCAGATCTCTGTGGGAGAAGACCCAGGCAGAGGGTGCTCACAGCTTCGAAACAGCCATGCTGGAGTCCACATTTCCACAGCAGAAGGTAAATGCTTCTTTCCCAGGATATGTTATTTTAAACTAAGATTCAAGATTATCTTGAAGCAGTTTGCCTATGTCTCAACAGTTTCATTTTTTCCTTCTCTCCTTGATCTTCTTTTATTATTATTTTAGAAAACACTTATTAAGTAATATAGCACCAAATTTCATGTGGTGCTGCAGTGGCCTCAGGTTAGAGCGGTGTCAGTAGACAGGGTCATCGCCTATTGTGACTTTGTTAAATCAACATTTGTGAAGTGGGGCACAGGGTGCCAGATGGTGACCCCCATACAACAAAAGACCAGAAGAGAAACTGAAATAGACAAGTTTATTACTCACAGGTCCTGGAGGAAGTACACAGCAGGCCTCGAGGGGCCACTTGGGGAGGTTAAGTGAGGGTGCAGAGAGAGAGAGAGAGAGAGAGAGAGAGAGGTTCTGGGACACATGCCTTTATTTGGGGTCTGTGGAGAGAGTACTTTTGGGTTCCCAGGCTAAGGCCAGCTTGTCCAATTCAAACCAAAAAGAGTGGGGTTTTGGTAAGCCCATGAAAGTCTTACCTAAGGCACACCCAAGGAGAAGGCCCTGGGAAGCAGGGAAAACTTGATCACAGGGCTGTTGGGGAAATCATAGCAGAAACTTTTATTTGCTCGTGACTCTGTAGGCTGTTGTCTGGAACATGCACTTGCATTAGGCGGCCAGTGTCAGTTTAAGGCCCCTCATGGGCTGATGGATGCCAACGCAGCAATATCCTGGAGTAGCTTAGCTAAACGTTGGCACTGCTGTTTGAGGCTCACAGACTGACATAGTACAACCCACTAAAAGCTATTCCTATGACGTGGAATAGAAAACATTTTACAAAAGAAGACCATGGACCCCAGGATCGAAAGGGAAAGAGCACCAGTGAACGGGGCTCCAGGTTTTTCAGTGCCTTTCATTTCTTCCTTCCAAACTTCCTGTCATGCCCTTGTCCTCTGCAATCACCACACACAAAAAAAAGTAGATAAGGTGAACAGGAAGAGAAAGCATGGTCAGGGAGAAGGAGCTGTGCTGAGGCAGGCAAGTATGACTTGAGACCCAGAGCATTTTAAGAGTGTGGAAGCAGGGCCATAGCTCTCAGGACACAGTGGCCTGAGACCACCTCAGCAGGCCCCCAAACTTGGAAAATATCAGAATGTGGAACTACACCCATCCAATCAGTAAAGTGAAACTGACATGGACCTACACTGACATGGTCAGTTTTGTGTGTGAGAGAAGTTGCAGGCCCGAATATGCGGAGAATGATTGGAGGAAAGCTGACTGGAGGCAGGAAGACTACTTAGGAAGCTGTTACTGTAATCAGGTAGGAAATGAAGGCATGAATCAAAGCTGGACATTGTAGGAAGACGATGGGTGCAAGGCTCTTAAAGAAGTAGAATCAACAGCACTTGGTGCCTGATAAGGAAACTGGAAGAACCAAGGATGATTCCAGGCGCATCGTGGGGGTAAATGGATGATGGCTCCATCCTGAAAAAGAGAGACCACAAAGGAAGCCACTGTGGGAAAAGAAGGTAAAGCATTCTGGCTTACATATTTGAGTTGAAGTTGTTTGTATAGGTAACCACGTGATGATGGTGGTTGAAATGGATCTCAGTTACATATTTGAGTTGAAGTTGTTTGTATAGGTAACCATGTGATGATGGTGGTTGAAATGGATCTCAGGAAGACCAGGACTGGAGGTATGGGTTTGGAAAACATAAGGTAGAACTTGACATTATGACAGTGAATTGAATCACTCAGGGAAAGTAGAATATGTACAATGAGAATAGAGATTGGTTATTGATCTCTCCTTAGCAAATATCACCATCTTCTCTATACTCAAAGATCTTGATTATTCTTGCCTTACCTTTAAGAAAACACAGTAATAACCATTGGATGCTTACTAAGCAAACCAGAGGTTATGAGAATACATATATGATCATGGTTTTGTCTTTGTTTTACTATTGAGAAGGGGAGTAAACATACCAATATTAAATAAATTCAAAGAACAAACAAGTAGCAAATTAATCAAAAACTGTTATATTGTAAAATTAACTCAATACCTCTTAAGTGATGAAGGATTGTGAAAGGATGACATATGGGTCTGATTCATCAGAAGTTTATTTAGGGTAAGACACTGAAGACACATTCAACTATTGCATCACTATTTTTGGCTTTGGTTTAAGAATTAGGTATGCAGTATGAAAGAATAAAGGAAATGCCACAATTGCACCAATACAAAGTAGAATGGAATTCTTTGTATATTTCACTCAATTGTTAAACTGGGTATCATGTCTAGAGACAATGCCTCAAATTCTTATAAATTTTTCATTGTGAACTGTATTTTAACTAGAGGTCACCAGTAAATTAGAACTTGGCATGATGTTTCAAGTCCTAGGAGATTTTTTAAAACTTGGCAGATCAGTTTTGCGCATGCTCACAAGTATACCTATTCGTATTTCTTTTATTTTATACAGATAGTCATCTAGAGGAAAGTTAACTGCAAATTTTTTAGTTTTATAATTTTTTAGTTTTCAAATTTTTTAGTTTTATAATTTGGTTTATTCATAAGTAACTGAAAAAGTCTTTAATATCTAGATTGTACATCTTTGGCAGTTATCTGCCTGGGTATTTCTCAATCAAACTGATTTTCTTCTATTTTTTTTATGAAGTGTTGTGTCCACTAAATTCAAAATTGCTGTGAGGATGGTCCAAAGACTGCTTTATTTATTTTTTCACCATATGTACACTGTAACATACGCTAGTGATTGAAAATGATGAGTGTTTCTGCATCAGCTGCGGTGATGGAGTTGACACTGTAGCTAAGTGGATTTAGAAAGAAGGAGAAAACTCCTGAGAAAATGCCTCACTCTCTGGAATATGATGCTGGAGGGCTTGTTCTTGCTGTTGCCTTTTAATAAAATTCTGGAATTTCAGAACTGAAAATCAACAATAGATATTTATTAACTTGGAAAGTGCTTGAGTGCAGGGATTGCACCGTTTTTACTGTTATTTTTCCAAGTTCACACAGTGCCTGGTAGGAGCTCAATATATAATGGGAACTAACTGAATGAATAAATTAATCTTGTCATTTTCTGGATGTTAAAAATGGAAGCAAAAGGACCTGGTGAAGGTCACATAGCTAGTCAATAGCACTAGAGTGCAAAAGATTGTCTCTTCCCCATGCAAAGTGTGTGGTGGGTCTGGATGGCTCTCTGGAGTCGCAGTCCTCCACGTGGTGGCTTAGAATTCCAGGTGCATCTTCTGTTCTGTGTTCATCTTCTGGCAACTCAATATCAACATTTGCATCTACAGTCACCACAGTGGAGGAAGAGAGGGAACTCAGAGAATCACAGACTGACTTTTAAAAGTTTCTGCCTGGAATGACACATCCCTTTTCATAGTTCACTGGTGCAGTGAAGGCTTGGGTGTTGGGGTGGGGCAGGAGAAGGGTGGAGGGGGTTAATGGAGGCGGGGGGAGAAGAGGATATCTGTAATACTTTCAACAATAAAGATAAATAAATAAAAATTTAAAAAAATAAAATTAGTGTTTTAAGAGTATCTACCAACAGGATTGTAATGATCAAATAATACATACAAATCCCTTAGAACAATTCCTGTGTAACATAATAAATACCAAATGTTAGCTCAAAAAAAACAAACAGATGAGAGCATGATTATTGCTGTGGGGATAAATTAATGGTAAAGGATAAAGATTCCAGAAATAGCCCCAAGAATATATAGACACTTGGTAGATTCTTTTTTTTAAAAAAAAGAAGAAAATGAAATATTTTCAAAATAGTATGGGGACAGGTGACTTTCCAGATTGAAAAGATAAAATTAGGTCCCTCCCAGACATTATGTACATAAATCAACTCCAGATAGATTAGAGGCCTAAATGTAGAAGAAACCTTAGAAGTAGAAGAAAATACTAAAGTTTACCTTTAGGACTTCAGGATAAGAAAGGATTTCTTAAGACCTAAGTGAACAGAAATCATGAAGCAAATATGAATAACAGATTTGGCTACACAAAAAGTTTAAATTTCTCTATAACAAAACATACCATAACAAAGGTAAAAGGTACGAACAAGCTATAAGAAGGTATTTGAAATATGTATAACTCACACATTAAAAAAAAATCTATAAATCAACACAGAAGAGACAAACAACTGAAGAAAAAATTTAATGAAGAACATGAACAGAAAATTCATCGAACAGGAAACTCAAATGACCAAAAATGTAAGATGTTTAGACTCACTAAAAATTATTGAAATAATTGATTTACAATTTTTAAAATGATAACCCCATTTTACAATGATCAAAAACTGGTGAGAGGGTGGGAGTAAGGGGGAGAGATCAAATTTTTTTTTCTTTATTGGCAGTGGTCGGCAAACTACGGCTCACGAGCCACATGCGGCTCTTTGGCCCCTTGAGTGTGGCTCTTCCACAAAATATCGACTTCTGCCACGAAGTTTCAATCACACTGTACATGCGTGCCCGCACCTGGTATTTTGTGGAAGAGCCACACTCAAGGGGCCAAAGAATCGCATGTGGCTCGTGAGCCGCAGTTTGCCGACCACTGCCAATAAAGAAAAAAAAATGGTGAGAATAAAAATATGTGACAATAAAAGTCTTTGCAAATACATAAAAGAATGAGAATGTTTATACACAATAAATGAGAATAAAACAGGTTTACCTATTTAGGAAAAAAGTATTTAAGAAAAAATATATGTAATAATTAAATCAGACTCAAATATATGTAATAAAATATATAATAATTAAATTAGACAGCTAGCTGACAGTCAACATGGGTGAGTAACTAGCTTTCCAGAAGTCTTCCTTTCATTTAAAGCTTATTTTAAAAAATGTTTGCGCATACCCTCCAAAGGAGTCCCCTATCTAGTTAATTAACATTCATAGCATTATATTGATCTCCCCGCCATGAAACATTTAAGCTCTCTGTAAACAGAGCTTAAACATTTTATCAGAGAT